ATTGATATTTCAATGATATTGATAGTGGGATTTAGGATATTCTCCTGTAAGCTCTGAGGTATATGGATGAAACGCCAAGACCCAGGATCCAATTACTTATAGAGCATGAATAAAATTGTAACAAAACAAGCCTCACTTGGTTCTCCGTATCAAACTATTATGTAGTTGTGATATAGAATAGGCATACATCGTCCTGAAACTCGTCCGACCTTTTAACCATTTCGCCCAAAGTAAATGAGTCTGCTCCCTAATCTAAACCATTCAACATCGATGTACTTATGGCTTACTAATGGGCATTAAGCAAAATCAAACTTCATTACAATTCCGTGGAACCAATTCTTCTTTGATAAAGAGTAAGTAGAGTTTCCTCTACATCCCACTTGTCAGAATTCACGGAGCTCCGCTATCTGTCTGCTTTTATCTAAAATTGTGCTGGCTAAAAATGAACGTAATCCGATACATTTTGCTTCGTAGCTTGCCAAGTCTTTGTCCACTGACTCTTTTTATTGTGAGATTATCAACCTTTTTATGAATGCGCCAAATTACCACTCAGTTAAGGCAAAATAGTACTAACTCATTGTATGGTATGTTCTTCAAATTCTGCTCCCACCTGGTTCTCAACCCTTTATGCATAAGTTTACTATTACACGAATTGAATAGGATATCGTGATACTTAGTATAGCTTTAACTAGAGCTTCAGTCACCCTAAGCCTTATAAGCCCTTGATCACCTTAAGCTAATTTGGTGACTAAAGCTCTTACTCACGATCTACTGATAGTCTCGAAATCCCACTCAATTAGAATACTAGTAACGTTATCGATCGTAATGGAAAATGCGTGCTTGCTTCAGCAACAATTTCAGAATAAAATTTGGTATGAAAGAGGCTTAGATTGTTTTTAAGTTCCATTTTGTTCTGTGACCATCTGGAACTCGTAGCAGTGGCGTAGCGGTAGCATGCATAAAGTATATGTTGTGGGTCCTGATGAGATGTAGGTGAGGTCGAAACTGCAGTCCACTCCAGTAGGGATGAGAATATGTGAAGAAAAGTTGAGTTTCAACGAATCTCTTGATTCATAATTGTTGAACTTACTTCCATTTCGAGTAGAAGTGTTTGGTGAAGAGGTTCTAAGGTCGATCTCATTATAAGACGACGGTGGACTACTCTTGACTAAATGTCGATTGGCTCTACTGGAACATTCTTCTTGACTCTGTTTCCGAGGCAATCACCTTCGATTCCGGTAAACATGTGCTAAGCTGTCGTCCGTCGTACAAAGGACATAAGCAGAGCAGAGTATTATCTATTTATCCAACATCATTCATATATATAAGGCCATATTCTAGCTGACGAGTCAGTCAAACTCACCGGCTCATCACTAAAGGCTGTATATATACTCTGTATCTAAGCTTTTTGATGAGGTATAAGGTGATTTTGTTAGTTCAAGTCATATGCCAACCTCGAAGCATGCGAGTGCGCCAGCATGTGTATGTATATGCGTTATTTTGACTGGCTCGCTTGAATGTGGTTGTAAAAATGATAACCTGCTATGATGAAGTCCGTCATACGACGGTCTAAGGCTTAGCACGTTTTCACCCGAAACGAAGGAGGTTGTCTTAGAAATAGCGTCAACAAAAATGTAACGGTAAAGGCAACTGACAGCCTTCGTCTTCTGGTGAGATCGGCCTTCGAAACTCTTCATCATACACTTTAAGTTGAGATGAGAGTAGCTGGTGGGAAGCAAGACTAAGTGAAATGCAATTGTATCAAAAGGCCTAATCCTTACAGTTTGGAAAAATTCACAAAATCTCTGATGCATGTCCACTTACTCACTGCTCCATCCTCTCCGAACTAGTGTGAATATTTGTGTTAACCGGTACCTTCTATAGAATCTGAGAGCTGCCCGATGCCTAGACAATTACCTCTTGACTAACACAGCTCGGGCTGGACCCATGATAGATGGCTGTATTCCTTGGTCGTTCTGGGCACATACAGACTCAAGCGAATAGATGGATTTTCCAATATGTCATCACTGCTATTGTATGGTAAGTAGATGCCATACAGAGTTTGGTCAAAAATGGGCTTACTGCAAAAACATGACCACACCAATCCGCTCGATTTGTCGTTTCACGACCTGCCAGGATTCACGTAAATTCAAGATCTGCTCCGGACTGAGGGCCATCAACGCTTGTGAGGCTTCTTCATACTCGATCACTCTGGAGCAGCCCGATTCACTCCTCCAGCCTTTTCCGGTCACCTTGGGAGGCTCAAGAATTTGAACACCCTTTTGACTTTCACTGCCGGACGCATTGCCCATCAAGACGACCTCTTTTTCTGTCTCCACTGCTGCTTTCCTCCTGGCTCCTTCGAAAGGAGTCACTTTACAGCGGCCTGAGGTGGCTATTCCGGCCTCCACAAAGGATGGCAGTACAGGCTGTGATTTCGGCCAACGCATGTGGGCCAATCCGCTTGACTGAAAAGCCTTCTGTCGCCTGGACTCCTCCTCTTTGCCTGCCGAGGCGACGTAGCGATCTTCAAACAAATCGGTTGAATTGCGAGCTCTACGTGGTCTTATGCAGAGTCGGCTCATCTGACGCCAGATACCATCTACAAAGTTGGGCGCCGAAATGGCGGCTTCGCTCGACGACGGATCGGAGCGCGAGACCAGCAGGTTCTTGCCTGTGGCGTTGTTCGGCTTAGACTCTTCATATCCGACCGGCAGCTTGTCCCGAGACAGTGGGTCCGAGACGACACTGGCCGAGGGCGACCCCGAGTGGGACTGGATGTGAAGGACGTCGAGGATTCCGCCTGAAGTCTGGCCGCAGGCCAGTGTCGGCTTGGAGGAGCAGACCAACCGGGAGACGGAGGAAACTTTGCGTCGGTGAGGCTCACTACCTTCAGACTGCTGGTACATGGTCTCTTCATAGGCCGGCAGGCTGTACCGATTGGAGATTTGGCTCTTGTAGATATCGGACTGTGAGCGTTTCTGTATCAGATGCCTTATCGCTGCTTCGGGGTAGTCATACAGGTTCTGGGGAGAGGGCAGTTGACTGGAGACGCGAAAATTCGGTGTCAGCAGACCGGGCCCCTCCGAGACGGACGGTATGTTGGTCAGGGGGATATCGAGGTCACTCATTGAGCGGAAAGTCACGAAATTCGTCTTCGAAGGACAAGAGGAACTCGGTAGTGTTGTAAGGTCCGAGATTGTTCCTTGTTTTTTTGGTCTTAAATACATGAAGCAATAATGTGGCGGGGCCATGTAAGTTTCCCAATCATGTTACCATGCGATAAATGCGGAAAACTGCAAAGACACTGAAAATATCCCCAAGAAATTGGACTGGCAACGTAGAGTATTAGCGTCTAGTGCAGACAAATTTCCTCGTCTGGCATTGCTATACAAATACTATAGCCTAACCCAATCAAGATGAGGGAAACAAGAGGCTGTTCGACCAATGAAAAGAAGGCGAAATTATGACGAATTGTCCTATGCTTTTCGTATGTAAGCAGAGTTTCGAGACTACCGGTAAATCAGTAATATGAGATGTGGTCAACCTATTTCGTTGAAGGTGATGAAGGACTGGTAGTAGAATTTTCCCACAATGATATGAAAAGGACTAATGTTTCCATTGGATAGCACAGAACAGAAAGAAATATACCCTGGACGAGAACACCTTTTGGGGCAGCAAGAATATGTTAGATCGAAGATATGAAGACCAAGATGGTGTGGCCTTTTGTGTGGTCGCAGTCTCCTTTCGTTGAATAG